GATAGATAGGATAGATAGGATAGCTAGGATAGCTAGGATAGATAGGATAGATAGGATAGATAGGATAGATAGGATAGATAGGATAGATAGGATAGATAGGATAGATAGGATAGATAGGATAGATAGGATAGATAGGATAGATAGGATAGATAGGATAGATAGGATAGATAGGATAGATAGGATAGATAGGATAGATAGATAGATAGGATAGATAGGATAGATAGGATAGATAGGATAGATAGGATAGATAGGATAGATAGGATAGATAGGATAGATAGGATAGATAGGATAGATAGGATAGATAGGATAGATAGGATAGATAGGATAGATAGGATAGATAGGATAGATAGGATAGATAGATAGATTAGATAGATTAGATAGATTAGATAGATTAGATAGATTAGATAGATTAGATAGATAGATAGATAGATAGATAGATAGAGATAAGATAGATAAGATAGATAAGATAGATAGATAGATAGATAGATAGATAGATAGATAGACAGATAGATAGATAATACCACATATCCTGTATGATGCATATATACATATATGATACATATATTCATATAAATATATGTGATACATATATATATATGTATATATGATATTTAAGTTGGGAGCTATGTAGCGACTTTGAACTTTAAAAAGTGATTGAAACATATATGGATCGACCAACCAAGAGGGCCAAGTTTCCATGTTTTCCAGGCCATTAATAGCATCCCTATGTGTACATTGTATATGTATATATGATATTATATATAATATAGATATACTACATATGTAAGATAAATATATACAACGATTATATTTCTTTAACAACCCAAGCCTGACTGTTACATTTCTCATTGAGCACCACACTTGCATTTACAAGTAATACAACTGCATGTTGTAAAAAGCCTTTGCTTAGATTGCGCTTTCACACTGCTCTGTCGTATCCTCCATGTTTGCTTGCTTACACCGTGTCCTTTCAACCTTTGGAGATTTTGAAACCATGCAAACATGCGATTGCATCGCTGAAAACTGTTGAAACAATATCTGGTTGGTGGTTTGGAACATTTTTTATTTTTCCATAATATATGGGATAATCCTTCCCATTGACTTTCATATTTTTCAAGATGGTTGAAACCACCAACCAGATATGTGCTCCCAATGTTTGTTGAATCAGACTTTTTCCACCACTTGCCAGATGGTTTGTCTGAAATGCTGGGACCAGCGCTTGGAACATCCATGGTGAAAGCACGCCTCCTTTTTCACGGCCATCGACGTCAATCCGAACGCTTTGGTTTACCTCCTCCCATTTTTGAGAAATATGTTAAATTGCCTGGTTAAGCCATGTGAAACCATGTTAAACCAAAACAGGGTCGTCTCATTATAAATTAATATACTGGCTATGACCAACATAGCCATGGAAAGATCCACCATTTTTAATATATAGGTAAACCATCTATTTCTATGTGCCATCGAAAAACCATGGCGAACTGTTAGTCATTGCCCATTTATAGATGATTTTCCCAGCTAGAAACCTCCACTTTTTTTCGGGATTTTCCATGAATATTCCATGAATACCATGGCTTAGGGAGATGGTGATGTTTGTACCAATCCATCTCCCCTTTTTCGAGGTGGAAGATTTGGTCCAGGCCTTGAGCGAAAGCCTGGAAGAAGCGCCTCAGGTGGGGAGGAGATCGAAAAACATCGGAAACTTGCCAAAAGGGCTGGTTTTTGCCATGAAAATCTGGCGAGTTTGGTTTCCAAGAAAAACAAAAAATACCCTCTGGTAATTTAACATAGCTATGGAAAGATCCACCATTTTTAATGGGAAAATCCACTATTTCTATGGCCATTTTCAATAGCTACGTTAAATTACCAGAGGGTATATATCCCATCATCCAAGCCACTATGAGTGGATTTTAGGCCATTCCTAGTTTCAAACAAACTTGTGATCGGGGGGATAAAACCATGCTGGTAGGGTTTGGAGCGCAATGTGGCCTTTGGGGTGTGAGTTTGGCAATGGAACATGGGGAGAGACACGAGACACTGATTCAACCGGAGTGATGGGATTCTTAGTGCGTGCTGCTTTTCATGGAGGGAATGTTTGGGAGGTACTCGTTTGGGATTCGCTAATATCTAACGATATAAGTTTCCATCACATCGGACGGAGGCTCAGGGGGTGAATCGATGAAAAGGGCACCAAAAAAAAAACACCCCACAAAGCCAATCCATAAATCCATCGCACCTGTTAGGTTATCCTTTTTACTTCCGAGAAGTTAATCCATATTTTGGATTAACCACCAACTAGGTCTCCAAAGAGATGGAAAAGCAAAGATGATTGAAATGGTGGACCATGGTGGACGTGTGGGTCGCTCAACTACCAATCAGATTCTCGGAGAGGGATTTCTGTAGACTACGTAGTCCCATCCCCCATTCATATTAAACACCACCCCAAACCCGTGGTTTAGAAATTTAGTAGGGGACAAAAACACATATTTGGGACCATGGCTTTGGAGGGGTGTTAATATGAACAAGGGATGTGATTAAACATGGATCAAAGAATCATGTGGTAAACCCAATAATAAACCATGCCCAAAATGACAATTTTCTATATCGGTGAGTTTCATTCCATCCAAAAATGCTAGGTTTATGAAATTGGCTTTACCAAATTTTTTAACTATATGGAAAATCAGATAAATCATGATAAATCGGTAAATCGTCAAATTTTGATCATCATTGATCATCATTGATCATCTATAAATGGATGTGGGTCAAAATGGAAGACCTAGGGGACCACAGATGTTAGTCTAGTTTAGTATTAACCATCCATAATTTTGGGGTACCTAATTTTGACCCATACCCAAATGGTCATGTGACAAATAGCTGCTGCACCTGCCAGTTGCTGGACGCCGCGTAAGTTCTTCGAGTCCCTTGCGGCGGTGAGTTCCGCAATTCCGCGACGGACACAGATGGGAAACTCACCGAGATTAAATGGTGGTTTAATGGTGGTTAAATGGTGGTTTAACCATCCAACAAAATGGTGGTTTTAATGGGGAAAAACTCACAGCTCGCCATGTTCATGTTCGGCTACTGAAGGGTCAAAAGCCGAAAAAAGTGCCCTGAAAAATCACGAAATTCATTTAAAGCCGCCCCAACATGAGACATCATGTCAGATCTCAAACGTGCCAAGAACATTAATGTCAACGGATAATTTTCACGCAGAATTGCAGACTCAACACATACCCTCTGGTAAACATACAAAAAGCTATTGAAAATGGTCATTTATAGTGGATTTACCCATTGAAAATGGTGATTTTCCATAGTTATGTAAACGTTTACCAGAGGGTATCCACCAAATGGTTCTCTTTGAAGACTTCACGGTGAACTCCATTGTTGGGAGACCACATTGGGACATCCCAAGCCGAATGTTTGAGCCATTGCCCCTCTGAGTCTCAAAGCTGGCAATTGTGGTCGGCTCAACTGGGTGTCAAATGTGCAAGTTGATGGACAGAATTGATTGGATATTCTGTCAATGGTTGGTAGGTTCGTGGGTTGTATTGCTTGTGCCATAAAATGGGAAAATACTGTTGATGAAAATAGAGTGTATACATATTCTATAATACCGTATATGTATGTATATATGTAATGCAAATTAATGCAATGCAATGTAATGTATGTATACATTATATACACATAATATATATATATATATACACATACATCATTATATATCATGCTCTTTTTAAGGCTATCTAAAATTTTGCCATGATACCAGTTTCTCTTTGTTTTCCAATTCTTGAGCCACAGATGTTTCAAGACAGAAACAAATGAAATACTGAGCGGATCAGATCATGCTATATATTTGGTTTAAACACGAATGTCATGGATCACGACGCAGCACTTCAAAACACATCCCTGGTGGGTTGCACAGTGGACACCCAGTGGAAAAACGTTGGGGTATTGGATGACCATCCCACTGGGAACTTTGGAAGAATTTCTTTGTGGCTGATTCCAAAGCGCCGATAGGGAAAAACCAAAGTATAATGAAGTGATATCAAGTGCTTTGGTCATCCCATCTTTGTGTTTTTTTTGGGGTTTAGGGTAGAGGCAGTGCAGCCTCGGGCCAGGGCTGCGCCTGCAAGGCAGAGCGACTGTTTCTCTGAAAAAGGGCCGCTTCGGTTGTTCACTCGGATCATCCGAATCTAGGGAAACATTGACTGGAAACCATGTCTCTTTCAAATAGTATAAATTGTTACAACATAGCTACTATAGGTATGGAACAAATACACCTTGTTACAAACCTATGTTTCTTTCTATACCAATAAAGATAGGGTTTCCTGTAAATTGTCCCAACGATTCTGGGAAAGGATAAGAACAGGAAGTTCGGAAGTGACGATACTGCACTACAGGTACTGCAGCTATGCTCCCAGCTTTCCACTAGCGGAGCATGTTGCAACCTTTGTTTTTCACAGATTCAATGGATTCCAATGGCTTCCACAATCGGTTATAATTCACATGGGATTCATGCCATCTTGTTTAAACAGATGGCAGTGTGTCAAAACCTTGTACCCCTGGTGAACATCAAAATAACTGCTAAATGGATGTTCATCCCACTAAAAATGGTATTAATAGGTATTGATCCATAGCCAGATCAATGGCTAAGCCATGGATTCAGCCATACTTCTGACACCATTCCGCTTTTGTTTGGTGATTTGGGGTTCCTTATAATCTGCCCACCTTTGCCCTATCTTCGGGCATTCAATGTGTGACCTGGGGATGCACGAAGCCTTTGCGCTCAAACATGCCATGCGGTTGATACCACGGCAGAGTTAATGTCAATGTTGCTTGAGCTAGCGAAGAATGGTAGATTACGGTATGATTCTATTATGTTGTTGCAGTGTTTCTCATATATTTCCACAATTATCGTCCTCTACTGTAGAAATGAAGAAAAGGATGTGCAGATGCGTGCAACCTGCACTCAACAGCTCCAAATGAAAAGCAGGTGAGTTGCTGCTGATTTTTTGCTGTTCCCGCGAAAATCTCCGACAGCATGGCTGTGCAACAGTTGCGACCCCACAGGGTGTCCGGTGCAGAGAAGCAGGCTGTAGGCCTGGTGAAGACATGGTTCTGGGAGATGGGAAAACCATGGAAAACCCTGCAGCTGGTGCTTGCAAACTGTTGCTACGTGACATGACCCAAGTTGATTTACTTTTTCAGGTCTCTTGAAGTGGCTATGGATCAATACCTGTACATACCATTTTTAGGGGGATGAACATCCATTTACCAGCTATTTTGATGTTCACCAGGGGTACCAAGGTTTTGACACACTGCCAAGTCTCTACAGGTTTTTCCAACACCAGATACTTGATGATACTTGTACCACATGTTCTTATGGTACAGTGATTACCTGGTTGGTGGTTTGGAACATGTTTTATTTTTCCATATATTGGGAACAATAATCCCAACTGACTTTCATATTTTTCAGAGGGGTTGAAACCACCAACCAGATATGAGCTGGCAATTTCAAACTACAATATTGAAAAAATAACTGGAAAGATCATGGGATATTTGTCCCCAACATGGTGATATAATATATATATATATAATAGGTGGGATTTTACCAACAATAATGATGGGTACGCTCTGGTAAACTAACAGTTTGCTATTGAAAATGGCCATAGAAATAGTGAGTTTTCCCATAAATAAAGGGTGATTTTCCATAGTTATGTAAACGTTTACCAGGCCGGGTAAATCCCATGAAAAATCCCATTAAACCACCATAAGACCTCATTAAATCACCATTTTCCTATGGTTTTCCTATGGTTTTCCTATGGTTTTCCTATGGTTTTTATGGTTTTCCTATGGTTTTCCTATGGTTTTCCTATGGTTTTCCCCAACACTGGCAGGGGACCTGGGAGGCACCGTGCTGGCCTTGGCACTGCAGAAGGCATGGCGCAGTGGCTCCGCAGGATTTTTGGCGGGCACCATGCAGGTGGGCTGAGAAAGTTCACTGGGCAGGATGGCTAGACAAATCATATAAGATACTATGTTTGTATATATATATATGTAAATAATGTATATATATATATATGTAAATATATATATATATACATGTGTGTAAATATATATATATACACATGTGTGTAAATATAAACATATATATATATATACATGTGTGTAAATATATATATATATACATGTGTGTAAATATAAACATATATATATAATATGGGGGTTGCCAAAAATGGTGGTATCCAAAAATGGATTGTCTATAATGGAACATCCTATTGAAATTCATGATTAAAATGGGTATCCCCATTTTAGGAAACTCCCATATATCATGACGACAACAGTTGTAATCTTATGGGGATAACCAACTCATATAGTTATATAACTGGATAATTGAGTAATCAGCTCCATGGCTTGCTGGAAAATCCTCCAGCCATAGGGATTTAAAGTTGCCACGTATGATCACCAGAGGGCAGTCAGGCTTTCCATTTGATGGTTTTTTTTTTCCAGCTCCCAGTTAAACACATGTCCGATGTTTTTTGGCTACCTCAGTCTTTACCCTCTGGTAAACTAACATAACTATGGAAAATCACAATTTTTAATGGGAAAATCCACTATAAATGGCCATTTTCAATAGCTACGTTAAATCACCAGAGGGTAAGATATTTTAGCCACGTTGACCATTGGATCGGATTCAGGGATGGCTGGTGGCATGGGATCATCCCTGTGGCTGGTGATACCTTGGCCCACCATGGCCTCTGAGAGACCCAGTTGATGCAGAAATGGGTTTCTTCAAAATTTGGGCTAGCCTTACATTGACATGGTCATGTGTTTCCCTGTGAAATGACATCTTTTTCTGCTATTTTCCATGTATGTTCCTCCATTTTTGGGCAAACCATGTGTTTTTTTGGGGGGAAGGGGGTGCCTCAGGTGCTGGCGTTCATGTGGCTACGCACCGCCATGAATTATCAGCATCTGGGCGGGATGCCGTGGGAGCTATCTATTCATATATGTTCGTATAAGTTCATATTCCATCCCATTAACAATACTGTATAAGTTATGTGGCTATGGATCAATACCTATGAAAATACCATTTTTAGTGGGATGAACATCCATAAATCCCAGCTATTTTGATGTGAACTACAGGGGTACTATTGGTTTTGACACACTGCCATGTATACATCTGGGTAAATTATCTATAACGACCGAACCCTGTTCTCCCGAACTCTGGAAATCATGGTTTATTTTAGGGAAATCATCGCCAAATGGCCGCAAGTTTCAGGTTAGTGAAATATTATAATTTGCCCATATATATATACATATACATATATATATTATCAATATCATATCAATATCAAGATCTACTACAGTAATATGATAGTATTGTCATATGGATATCATATTCATTTTATATTATTGATATCAGCAATGGCTTGCATCACTATGTAAAATTGCCGGATGGTAGTCACTTAGTGAATCGAAGTCGTGTTTCTTTCCTTGTCAGCACAGTTATGTCTGACTACCTGAAAGCTGGAGGGTCGAGTAGGTCGTACAGGTGTTTGACTATGTTCAACTTTTTTTTTGGTTGCAACCAAAAACTCAGCTAGCTATAGATTCATTGCTGCATATTGCTGCGCTCTCCGCGAAGGTACAAGTTTGGTGGCACCTTGCTTGAGGTTCTCAAGAAGCTCTGGGATGAAGGAGGCTGCTTCAAGCGGTTGGATGGGTACAGAATTTCTGCGACCCCACTGACCAAGGCACTGCTTGATTTACGTTAATCCTCCGAGTACTTATGAAAACATGGGTATAAAAACGGGTGAAAAATGCAAGTATCTGAATGTGAGAGTAACATAGAGTCACATATCCAAAGTTTTCCAAAGTATATACTTCAAACACCACTTTTTGCATAAGCATCTGGAAGGTGTTTTTGTCATTCCCCTGCGGTTCCAAGTCCACGGGAAGGGGCCCCGTCAGTTAACCCATCCGTCAAGTCCAATCCCGGGCATCATGGGTCATGATGGTTGGTGACGTCCACGTGGCCAACACGGACTCCCACTTCATCAGAGAATTGTTTTTGTTTTATGTGTTTTTTGTAGTTGCCTGGGTCATGATCTTTTAGAGGGTGTCAGACCCCCATCCTAGCGATTTTTGAGATGTGCCATTACAGCGGTTCAAGGTGGACTGTCGTTTTGTTCGAAAATCGGGAGTCGGTGTGAGCAGGCGAATTGCCACAGGTGTCATCCGTGTTCATCAACGCTCCAGGTCTGTTGCGGCTCTACCAGGGCCTCTTTCCCTGGGCCATCTTTCAAGCGCCCTTGTCGCGCTTCGGCGACGTGGCGGCGAACGATATGGTCCTGGTACTCTTTCAGCAGCTGATGCCGCAGGCACTGAGAAAGGATCGTTCCATACACTTTGAGGTCAACAAAAAGTAGCAATGATAGTGGGATGATATACCACACTATAATGGGTATAAATGTTGGTTATAGTATGATATAGTTCCTTTTCAAATTTTTCAAGAGTTTGATTTGAAGGTATGCATTCCTACGGTTTAAATTAATGGACCCATCTCTCTGAATATGAAGGAATAGCTGGTTGATGTAGCTGCGACGATCATCCAAGTTACTTATGGTCATCCATGGTTATAGATATGAGGATCATCCCATAGTCAAATATGGGTACAGCTACAACCATAGTAACTATATGTAACTATATGCTTATAATAGAATTAAATGGTTATGAATAACACCCTATAGATCCCTATAGCTTTAATTGCTACCATAATAACCTAATAACTGAGGGGTATGTATGGTACAGCTATGGGAATGGGTTTGGTGTGGAGATTTATCGGTGCAAATTTGGACATACATGGATTATCATAGGTTAATAGTGGCTATAACCGTTATAATAACTATGGGTATACCCTCCACCAAGATAGAACCTCAAAACTTGGACATAAATGGATGACAATAGCCAACATCATGGAGATAATATGAAGATATACTGTGATAAAGAGAGTGGAACATAATGGTATATAAGATAAGATATACGTATAGAGATATATAATGAAACATGGGAAAATCATGAAAGATCCAGCCAACACATAGTGGCAATGTTCACCATCATTTTTTGGGGGTTGATCAAGAACAAAGGGTATCTGGATTCTATTGGGGATATAAACCAATTAAAGACGCTTTGAATGTGGTTGAAAAATGTTTATACACCAGTTATGGCCATTTCAATAGGGAAAAATGTGTTAAACCGTAGGGTTCTTCGGGTAAGTTATCTTTTGACGAACACTAATAATTAGCGGTATATAAGTTAACTATAGTAGAATATGTTATAATACATATATATATATATACATTGTCGTGGTTACTACATGAAACATGAATTCTACTGGAGTTGTATGACCAACATGTCCAGAGAAAACATATCCTCTGACTTCTGACAGACATGTTTTTGGTGTCTCGAAGCGGGCGAGTCACCTTTTGCGTGCTCTTGTTCAAGATAAATCCTATTGTTTCTGTTCTGAGTCTGAGCACGAAATTGTTCATAGAAATATCAAGAAACATCTACCATTGCTATCGGTCGAAACCCCCATGGGCTATGTTTGTTCTATACACCTATATATATATATTATGTGGTTCAAATTCAGGGAACATCTACACAAGGTGAGGCCCCGCAGTTGTATATAAAGTTGGTTTATAACCCCATTAACTATAGTCTTACTTCCCATAAATCTTAGTTGTAGTTATAAACCAACTTAGTTTGGGGGCCTCACGTTGCAGGAAACCCTACACTGACCCCACCATTAAAGATGGCTAAGGTACTTTAAAGCATGCTAGTATAGGAAAGTACCCAACTTCCTTCGGCTGATTTCCCCAGAAACTTGGGACTTTCTGATCAAAATCTGCATGTTTTTGTCTGGCCAAATTTTCATCTAGCACTGGTTTCATCATGCCATTGCTCGTCAAAACCACATCAACGGCTCCTTTTCTTGTCAATCCCAAGTGTTTTTGTGCTTAAATCTACCCTCTGGTAATTTAACATAACTATGGAAAGATCCACCATTTTCAATGGGAAAATCCACTATGTCTATGGCCATTTTCAATAGCTATTTTGACATAACCAGAGGGTAAATCCCAAATGTTTTTGGGCCTGAACCCTCCATGTGTGCTGGTTGGGTCAGGTTCCAGTGAGCATGGCGACCTTCATGGGTTCCTTATCCAGTGCTGCCTGGCGCATTATCATCACCCCTGCGCCTTGGCGACTGATATGTTTGGGCCCGGGGAGATCTAATTAGAATGGGTTTAGTATATTTTGGTGGGGAGGAATTAGGAATTATATTGTATTGATGTTTAGTATAATATACTATAAGTTATACTATAAGTTAGGGCATATATATATATATAATATATATATACAATATTATCCTGTGTTTGGAGATTCATGGGATATATTAGGGATATAGTGGGATATACTGGGGAGGATATCATGCAAATATCACCAACAATATAAATGGGGGATGGCCACCCCGATTTGTGGCCATCAAATTGTTTTTTTGGGCACCAATTTTCAGCTTGAAACAATGTGACTGGATGATGGACGGATCAAAATGCTTGAGAAAAAAATGGTTTGGAGCCGCGCTCAAGTGGAAATCACACAAAGTGGTCAAATTTCTGTTTTTTTTTGGGATCCAGTGTTCCAGTTCTGATTTTGGTGAAGGGGTTCTGAATGTAGAGTCTGTAGAGCCCACAGAACTGCCATAGCGATTTTAAACTGTTCTGAGGAGTACCCTCTGGTAATTTAACATAGCTATTGAAAATGGCAATTTATAGTGGATTTTCCCATTAAAAAATGGTGATTTTTAATAGCTATGTTAGTTTACCAGAGGGTAAGCATCATAAAACATCATAAAGCATCATCTTTTTGGGTCACGGACAAGATGTTAGGCAAAAGAGCGACATGTTCGATAGGGCAAAAAACCACAGGATGAGTATCAGTCATTTAGGGGTTGGCAAGTGGCAGAGGAACTTTGTGACTTTCCACCACATTTGATGGTCTCGAAGATCTCATCTCATCTATCTGGAACCTAGTCATTTGTTATTGTAAAACGAGGTTTGACTAGCTCATGTTGAACCCAGAGACGAGAGCTATTTATATATGGTATTTTGATGTATGTTGCAATTGGGATCAGTGGGGTTATCCCAAATTTACAATCTTTCAGCTGAGTTTCACCCATGAAATTTAGCATGAAGCCAAAAAAGTGCCATATCCAATAAGAACACAATCTTTGCTATATGTTTTCAAGTTCCATGCATGTTAGATTTTTGGGCTGTGTATGTAAACCATGGAAAAACAATGGTAAACCATGGTAAACCGAGCCCAGAAAAATCAATGATGAATCATGCACAAGCCTGGGGTTCTTTACCCTCTGGTAAACTAACATAGCTATGGAAAATCACCATTTTTAATGGGAAAACTCACTATAAATTGCCATTTTCAATACCAAACTGTTAAATTACCAGAGGGTATTCCAGGCGAGATTTTCCCTCGTTAACCAGTTCCATGGTTGTTTTCGCGAAATCCAATCAGGTGGACACCTGCAAGACCATCTTGCAGACCGATGGTCCCAAGGAGCCATTGAACATACCGTTTTGTCGATGGGTTATAGCGGATTATACTACCTGGTGTAATAGATTATTCCAACATATTGCAGCCCATAATTTATCATAATTTCATATTTGGAAAATAAAAACTGTACTAACCAACTAGTGTAACCGGATGGGATAGGGCTAAAGTTTAATGGCTCAATTGAAGAAATGTGGTCTGTCTGATATTGACCTTGTTAGCGGGGGGCTGTTTGATATGAACATGCAAGCATTGCTAATTGTCATATTGACCCAAAAAACACATGTATAATATGTATACGTAACAGGTTTGCAGGCGAGGTTAAAACTATTGTGGCCACATCGTTAAAATTTTGCGAGACGCATCAGTGTTCCAACATCCCCATTTTATCTGAAAATGACCATGGGCCCCAGTGGTGCCCCCTGGGTTCAATGGCTTCGTATCCTTTTCCCATGGTTTTCCCCATGACTTCCAGCCGCTCCAGCCGCCAGGGCTGGGTGATGCTGAAGGACAAGATCCAAAAGGGCGGTCCTTTGGTGCTGTGGGCTGGATGGGAAGGCAACTACATGGCCAATGTGGTGGGCAACTACCCCTGGTTTGCCACCATGAATGTGCTGCAAAAACACGTTACTTGGCGAAAATGCGAAGATGCGAAGGATGGAGCCCTTGCAGGTGAGCCCTAGCAGGAGCTAAGGTTAGTGAATGGCTAGTTGTAAGATGTTGTAAGTTGTAAGTTTTTCGGGGAATAATGTGGATAGTCATATACGTGTACTGTAATATTTACATATACGAATATAATTGATATGATAAACTATGAAATGATATTGCAACTGTTAGGGAACGATTTACATCATCATACTGTGCAGAAGAAATAGGAACAGAGCTCTTTTGGTTGTAATCTTCGTAAAGCAATAGTAAACTTCCCCTTAAATTTACTGTAATTGGGTCCTGTAAAGCATCAATTATCATCAATCCATGTGCGTTCTTTTTGACATTGCTTTACTAACAGAAAACATCGACATACTGTCTTCCTTGACAGTATCTATTTCTGCAGATTTTTTGTGCATTTGGAGATCCCTCTGGCAATTGAACATAGCTATGTAATTTGTAAATGAAGTATACATGGGCCATTTCATGAAGCAAAAAAAACATGTGTAATTTTCCCTGCCGTAGACCCAAATCTGGCCACATCATGTGGGAGATTCGCCAGATTCCAGTTCCAGCTGGAAATTTCCAGAAGTTGCTGAGGCGGGGATAGGGATTTGCTTCTCCGCGTTGCTCTGACATTGTGATGATTGAAATTGCATTGAAATATATAAGTCAAGGGCTTGCAAAGCGGCGCCATATCTCAATCAATCCCTACTTGTTATGTGTTGTAATTAGCGCTACGCTATTTATCCTAACTTCAAAAGAGATCGGCCCAGCATCGCGTGGTGTTTTAGTGGCCGCCCCAGTCATTAGCCGGCTGGCAACTTCAATATATAACCAAGGTTTTCTCCCAGCTACACACAAAACCACCAGTTGTGTTTTCGCTTCTAGCCTCATTCCATCTTATTCCTGCTGGTCTCAAACCGTCACCTTGATAGTTTGACTAGCGATTCTTTATGTTAGACGAATTCTGTTGCGTAAAAGAGGCACATGTACCTTTGTGTACTCTCTGGAAATCAACGGTTTGGAAAATGTCTTTTCCGTTGAGACATACATCATCGAACATAGAAAACGATGATCCGGTCGCTGATTGGCCTCACATAGGGGGGGTTCTTTTCAAATGGATGATCAGGATGATCCCAATACCATAGGTTTCAACATAGGTTTCAATACTCAAATCTGATTGGTGGTTTGGAACCATGGAATTTTATGACTTTCCATTCAGTTGGGAATGGAATAATCATCCCAACTGTTACTCACTCCATCATTTTTCAGAGGGGTAGGTATACCACCAACCAGATTACTATTTCCCATCATTCACCATATAATAACCATTAATATTAACCATTAAGAGTATATTAACATATATTAACCACCAGTAGGTAGGTATCCCCAAATGGTCATCCATGACGATGATGACTGGGGCAGATTCGTCAGGAGCGCCTTCATCGGTGCCATTGCTTCATCCATCAGTGATGTTGTGCCTGGTCGTTTTTTTGTCGACATTGGGGAATGGGATAGCACCAAAACAGCAAATTTCATAGGGAATATTGGGGATAATATGGGATAATATGGGATAATATGGGACAATTGATGACTATGACCTTTTTTTATGGGGTAATGATGAACAAATAATGAACAAATGAGGATCATTGCACGGATATCCAATGATTTAAATGGTGATATAAAGGAAGAATCACCAAGAATGATGATTCACATTATTGAAACTGACCGAAATTGTTGGTCCGTTGGGTGCTGGGTGTTTCACAATGTATTTAAAAAGTTAACTTGCAACCAATGCCATTTAAGCAGCAGAATCAGCAACAAAAATGGTCATTGTGTAGCCTCCAGTAAACAAACCTGACAAGAAAGTCCTCAGTTCCAGAGAAGGACTGAGTATCAGGGCTTTTATGGGTACAATAAAAAGCGTGATCTGTTAACCATTCGCGCTTGGGCTTGGGCTTGGTGCCTGGTGATCTCCGATCTCTGCTGATCATGTTGCGATGGCAAGTCTTTGGTCGTGTTCAATGTGCTTTAAGGCTTTAATTTCAGCATTTCTTTACTGTATGGATAGTGTGTTTCCATGTGACTAACACTTGTTTGTTCCAACCGACAGGCAACTACTGTTTGTATACATTGCTGAGTGCGTATTGATTTTAAACAGGTGCATCGAGAATCATCTCGGATTCTCGCAGTTGTTACTTCGATTTTAAGACCCCTGTCCTTGTTCCTTGCGGTTGGTCAAGTTTTATTCCGGCCTCTTTTTCAGGTGGCTAATTCCATCAGAGTCATTAAGACAAAGAAGCAAACCAGCAGTGAGAACTGCAGCTACCTCTCTGCTGCCCAGCAGATTATCGAGAAGGACACCCTTGTTGTTTATTTGTTTGGGAAGAAATCAACGTCATACAAGTATCCTACATTACAACTTATATATGCTATACTTATCATGTGAGAAACAAAAGCCATAAACCATTCCTGATTTTACCAGAAATGGGTCGGAGAGGCTCGGTACAAACTTCAGCGCACCAGGCAGCTGTGGTTTGCCTGGGAATCAGTTTTATCAGTGATGGATGGGTCGGCAAGGACAGATAGATAGACAGACAGACAGACCGAGAGATAGACAGATAAAAATCAATCCCATCAAGTTTCCAAAGTCTGCCCACATTGCACTTGAAGTGACTTGAAGTTCCGTTCGCGCTTCTTCGCGCCAGGACGGGGTCTCGGGCATCTTCTTCCGGGGGCTCAGCACCAGGGTCTTCACCAACATCCTGCAGAGCGCCTTCTTCACCGTGCTGTGGAAGTACCTGTCCTCCAAATAAACAATTCGCCGCTGGGACGAGCTTTGGAGGATTTGCTGGTGAGGATAGCAGAGATTGACCTGGGACCGGTCAGTTTCCAAATTTGGTTTTTGGGCCTACTGATAGCAACTCTAGTTGATACTCAAAAATGCGGAAGCCTTGTTTTTTGTTTCCATCCTGAAACATGATGATCATATGATCCCCATTGACTTTGATAACAAAGAAATCGCTCTCCAAAGTTGGCGATTGGGCGATTGGTTTTTCAGGGAAAATCTGCTTCCCCTGAAAATGTATTTGCACTCCACCATAAAACCCATGTATAATAGCATGTTACCATAGCTGATGCGGCTCGAGTAAAAAGCGTGAGTCGCAGGTGCTTAACGGTTTGTTTGACCCTTGTTTAGGTTATCAGTTTATTTGGGTGTAATAGGAATTACCCCAGCTGAAACCTGAAAATACAGGTTATCAGCCGTAGTCTCTAAAGCCATGGACAAGTCGCATGATGCTACAGGTGGTGGCGCTCTCGTACCTGCTTCAGGAACAATGGCGACTGCATCAACTGGATCTCAGCCTGTGACGGCTGGGGCAACTCCCACGCCCATGTCGGTAGATGAAGGTTTCTTCACACAGCCCGTCCAGGCATATTTTCAGTTCGTGCAAAACAATCTTACCTACATCAACGAAGGTAACATTGACACTTTCAGGCAAGAGGCAGAGGAGAGGCACACACATCTCATGGAACAAAAGGTCCAGCAACTGCACCAAGAGTTTGAGGGAATTTGCCTTAGCGAAATCGCCCATCAACGTGCAGAAGCTGACCGCAGACATGAGCACCTAGTGTCAGAGTATTCAATGTCCCAAACGGCAACTGAGCATGAGGTAGCAAAACTGAGACAGGAACTTAGCGATGCAAACGCAAAGCTGAAAAACGCTGCAAATGCAGTTGCACTGGAAGCTGAACAAAGAGCCAACCAAAAGGTAGCCCACGTTACAGCCCAGTACGAACAAAGGTTTTCTGAACTCAGAGGTAGCCTCGAGGCAGACTGTAAACGAATCGTGGATGAAACAGTAGAGTATGCAAAGAATGGCATGGAAGGTTTCAAGAAGGAGGAACAAGCTGTAATCCAGGAGATTAGAAAGGAATGCAGTAGGCAGGAAAACCAAGCTGCTGAACTAAACTTCCAATTGCAGGGACAAGTGGAGGATTTGATGGAGAAGCTCAACAAGTACAGCGCTCCGGAAATCAATGTCGACAGAGCCGTCGAAGTTGATGATACACAAGGCGGGAACAATGTCGATTTGTACATGACCCCAAAATCAGCGGTCGGTACCAAGGCTGGAGCAGAACCCATGCCAAACACTGGTATGAGTAGCTTAGCCATGGACGCTAAGGAAAGGTTGAGCAACTTGTTCTCAACTACCCCTGCCGGATCAGCAGCCCCTCCAAAACTTCCACCATTGCCAGTTCAAAGACAAAATGATGATGACGCAAATCAAGAACATAGTGTGCCCAGTCCTACAGTAATAGCAAGCGACCCTGGCAAGAAAGCAGCTGAAGCAGGCTTAGGTCTTTCAGGTCAACAATTGCTAGATCTCATCACCAGACTGACTTCAAAGGATTCAAATGGTGAAAAGCCCCGAACAAAAGAGGCAGAGACTATCAAACTGAACGACATGCCTGCCCCAGAAGCGTATCGTCACTGGCGTAATCATGTCAGGGACGAAGTCAAGTCGTGCTCCGACAAACCCGATGAGGCTTGGCTTTGGCTCAATGAAGTCTTTGACAATAAAACCCCTAGGGAAAAGTTGGAGGAAAAGCTGCAGGAACCTGGGAAGTTTATCACACTTGACACCAAATTGTCGGCAGCGTTAACTCGCTCGGCCAAAGGTGATTTAGCAACAAAGATCCATAACTTCAAAGATGAGAAGTCAAAGAAAGGGATCCAAGTCAGAGGTAGGAGAGTCCTTTTGATGTTTGAAGATTACTTCAGGACGTCTGAGGAAGCTGGCAGTCTCTACCGCGTCGAGGACCTACTTGGAGTCGTTCGCACTGGAGAATCTGTGGAGGACCTTAGAAGGTTTTTGAACCGATGGGACGCCACAATTGCCGGCATGGAAACCCCGCCAGATGATTTGGTTCTCAGAGACATCTTACTCAGACAAATCCGAAAATGTCAATTGATGAAGTATGACATTGAAGCATTTGACAGAGCTCCTGAAAAGTCAGAACAAAAGTCTTATGCATTCTTGTTGAGAAACATTCGTGATCTTTTGGATAGAGAAAGACTCCGTTCAAACAGAAACAGAATCGTTGAAAAGAACAAGCAGACCGAAAAGCCTCAGCCCGCTGCACCCGCTCAGGGGGGCAAAGATCGCGGCAAAGGAAAGGGCGACCGAGGTCGAACCCGTGGTCGTAGCCAGAGTGGAAAAGGGGATAAAATATGCTACAAGTTCAGGGATGGCAAGTGCGAAAAGGGTAAAGACTGTCCCTACAAGCATGTCAAAGATTCCTCAAGATCTGGTACCCCCAAAAGGAAGGGTAAGGGCAAAGGTGGTAGCAGAAGTGGTTCCCCCAACAGAAAGTCGAAGGAAGAGATGGCCAAGATCCCATGCACTTACTTTCAACAGGGCAAATGTCGTCGTGGTGACAAGTGTTTTTACAAACATGAAGTTGCAGCTGCACCCACAAAGGATCCAAAACGCACCAATAGCCCTGCACCAAAGAAGAAGGCCAGTGCAAAAGCTGCGCCATGCATTACTCAAAGGTATGCATGCATAGCAAAGGGAAAAGGGTTGCCGAAAGCTACAAAGGCCATGAAAGAACAATGCCATAGAGCTATTGTGTTTTCATCAAAAGTGGAATACATCAAAGTCCCAGCAACAGGTGAACAGAGGAAGGTAGTGCACAAACCCCGAATCTATGAGAAGACGTTCCCTGATTCAGAGTCAGTGCCAAAACCCGACAAACTCGTGGCTCACCGTGCTCAGGTTTCGGCCCGGCAGTTGCAGGAACTTGTGAAGCTCTTCGGCAGTGAGACGCAGCCCAAATGCCGATTCCGATGCAATGACCCAGAAGGGGGAGTATCATGCAACCACTGTAGAGCAATGATTGGTCCCAAGAACAAAGTCAGTAACACTCATTTGCCCACTGTTGCTACACCGGCATCAAAAGATGGATGTGTTTGGTTGGTTGACACGGGCAGTGAACAGGATTTGATTAGTGAGGGTATGCTGAAGACTGCAAAGGCGACAAACCGCCGTGTCAGCGATACCCCAATCAGCCTTGCTACAGCGAACGGTTCGACACGAGCGGATGAGGTGGCCGACGTAAAAGTCGATGCCCTACATCAGCCATTCTCACCATACATCCTCGAAGAAACTCCTGCTGTTCTTTCGGTTGGTGTCAGGTGTATGGAACAGGGTTACAGTTTTGTGTGGCCAGCTGATGGTAGGCCTTACTTCATTCGTCCGGACATGGGAGTCATTGAGCTTAACGTAGACGGCCGTGTGCCGGTCATCGATAGCTCTTGTCGTGTTTTGAACAGTGGACAGTTCAAGAAAGATTGTGATCTGTTACGTCTTTTTGCAATGGTTGCTGCAAAAGCAGAAGGTGCCGATGAAGAAGGCGTGGATGAGGGAGTAGCTCATGATAGCGAAACCGAGTACGTCAGGTCTAGAAAGGCATCTGACCTTGAACAAGAGGCATGCAGCAAGTCTCACCAGTTTTGCCATTACCCCAAGAATCCATTTTGCAAAATCTGTCAGAAGGCGCGCATGATGGCGCCACCCGCAAAGAAGAAAGGGGGACAGAAGAGGTTGGAAACCAAAAGTTTTGGGGATCACATTGTCGCCGACCATACTGTAATCAAATCCAATGTGGAAGAAGGCGTCAAAGGTGAAACAGTGGCATTGGTGATGAAGGACATTCACACTCAGTTCAGACACGTCTATCCAAGTCAGACAAAATCGAGTGAGTCATGTGTCAACGCTTTCAACCACTTCTTATCTCACAAGGATGAAGTTGGGGCAGTTTACACTGACAATTCACGAGAACTTATTGCTACAATTTCAGAGTTGGGGTACAGACATCAAACATCAACAGAGTATGTGGACAGTTCAAAGTCGTTTGTGGAGAGGGAGATCAGGCACATGCTTGAAGGCACACGCACAAACCTCGTGCAGTCAGGTCTTCCATTGCAGTATTGGCCGATGGCTATGCAGCATTTCTCCATGGCAGTGAATGCCACGCCACAGCTCAACGGTGATGATGCCCCATGGAAACTCAGATTCGAAGAAGATTTTCCAGGTCAGTTGATTCCTTTCGGTGCAAAGATACTGTTTTGGAACAATCCAAAAAGGGTTGACAACACATCTGGAAAGACATCACCAACAGCAAATGATGGAATCTTTTTGGGATACCACATTCAACCTGGTTTTGCATGGAAAGGTGAGTATCTTGTTGCCAAGTTAGAAGCATTGGATTACCATGCAGAAACGGGCAGCATCACAGTGCAGCGAGCACGACGTGTTGAGCTCATCGCGGGAGGTTTTGTCTTCCCACTCCGTGCATTGAAAGAGGCCAAAGAGCCTAAGCCGGACCGCCTTGCTGACAATGTCATTGCTGATCCTCGTCCGATTCCGTTTCAATCCGAATTGCAAACAGAGGAACATGCAGAAACAAGTGAAGAAGCAATTGACAAGTCAACGGAGGCAGTGCTTGACGCACTTGCCAGTGATGAAAAGCCGGCTGAGGAACCAGTTTTTCCTGATATCAAGTACACTCCAACTGGAACACCAATCCCGGATGGTTATCATTGGGACGGCACATGCCTTGTGAAAACGTACAAAGGGTCAAAACGCCCTGAGTCGATCCCATCGGATTTTTGGAAAATGCTTAGTCCGAAGGATAGGCAAAAGCTTGTCGAGGAGGAAGCTGAAAAGATGGCTGTTGGCAGCGGCGGTGCTGCATCAAGCTCAGCATCAAAGGGTCCGAAGAAGAAGAAAGGTGCGGTTGCAACTGCAAGAAAGCTTCGGGTAAACCCTAGCCCCTCAGGTGAGCCTAGTGTGTCAACATGGGAGGTCATTCCAAAGGATAGACCGAAATTTTGTGTCCCTGCAATGCCGAAAGCGGTTCCAGCAAAAGCTGAACTGCATCGCCCGGAATTGAGA